AATCACTTAGTATTGAGGTTGATATATGCAAGCCATAAGTGGTAGGTTTATATTGGCTGTTTTATTATCATTATTAATACATGACGTAAAGTAGGACAGGCTAGGAAAGCCCTGTCTTTGCCCTCTCTCCTCCTGTGAACAATCAGGCTCTCATATGGCAACAGACACACATGCACGCATGTACACATGCATGTACCCCCCTGCCCTCGACATAACGCATTTCCAAGAATTTTATAGTACTGTTATGCCAGTATCTGTCTTCTCCTCTGGTGAGTTGTTGGTGCCTCAAAGGCAGCGACCTGGGCAGCAACTATAGCTTGTCTGCTTCTGCAAGTTGTCCACTATGTCCCTGGCAGACACTTGGTAAACGCTGGTTGAACTGGCTGAGCTTCCAAGTACAAGCACACCTCAAGTAGTCCTGTCAGGTGTCTAATCTCTAGCCTTCTTGTTATCTCCAGTCTGAGCTCAGGGTCCTGACCACTGCTGTTCCCACTGTCCCCTCCTGAGCTAGGAGGAGCCTAGATCCTCAAGCAGGGCTCCTGGAGAGGTTTGGGGCCCCCAGCTCCTTGTCTGTCCCTTCCCTTATGCCCTGTAGGAGGAACAGTGTGCCTGTCCTGCTGTCCTCTGCTCAGCTGGCATCAGCAGCTGCCAAGTCTGTGAGGCCCTTCTTTTCCTGTCCTGACATGCCAGTCAGGACAGACATGGCCATTTGTCATGTGGCATGGGGTGACACCTACTAAGTGTTGGTGAGGCATGTCTGGGCCTCTGGACACAGGAGTCAGCCAGGCCTTCACTGAGTGAGCCCCAGGATGGTCAATCAAGCACAACTTTTATTTCCTTCTACCTGGCAAAAATTCAAGAATAAAAAAAAGTTTACATTATGTAATGTAATCCAGCTACAAATTTTTAAAAAGTTCAGGTTCAGGTTGATTCAGATGATCATTTTCCTGTTATTTGCATGCTACTTGCATGGCACCTCCCTGTTTGGTAATTGATATCCTATTCCCCTCACTCCTAGTTTCATGAAATCTTCATTATTTATCACCTTCCCTCCTGAACCAGCGCTTTCTTGATGGCATCCTGTGGTGATCTGGTGGCTCCTCCAGGGGCTTCCTGATCCAAGTCTTTTCTTCGGAAAGGAGATGCAAAGGCTGCCATGGCCAGATTGGTTGGTGTGAAAAGAGGGGTGTTGGGTCTCTGGAAGCCAGTCAGGTCCACATCTGAGCCTTGCTGTGTGTCCAAGTAGCTCTGCACCCTTGGATAAGTCAGTCAACCTCTTTGAGCCTGTCCCTTCCTGCCACGTGCTAACTGAAGGCATTGGACTCAAGGTCACTGAAGTTCCTTTTGGCTCTCACTTTCTGTGGTTCTGCCTTATCCTGATTCTTGCCAGCACTGTCTTGGCATCATGAGAAGATCTGTGTTGTGGTTTTTGGCCTCTAGTGATTATATGTTAGGTACAGAACTGCTTTTTGCATACCTTATCTCATATACTGTTCATAGCCACTCAGTGCTGGAGGTTATTGGGATCCTTATTCTGTAGACAGTTCTTTAGATAAACTGAGGTCTGAGGCTAGGAAGGGTCAGTAATTTGCCCAGACAAATAGCATGTCATGAACAGAGGCAGGTTTGAATCGAGGCTTATCCACCACATACCTATCATCTGGAAATCCAAGCAGGTCTTGCATCAGCCCAAGCAGCTGTAGGACTTATGTAGGAGTTTTCCCAAAGCTGTCAATGGGGTGATCTTTCTCCTCTGACATTTGCCAATGGCCTCAGCACTGCTCAGTCGCACACGGCCCCTCCCCCATCCCCACCTTCACTCCAGTGGGCAGCTGGTGGCCCTGCTTTTGTCCACAGCTGGCAGCCTGCCCCACTGGGCTGCCAACTCACAGGAGCTCTGCAGGGATGGCCCCAGCTTGGGCAGGGATGGAAATCTGGTGGATTGGGACATATTTGCTTTCAGGTACCAAGTTAGTCCTTGTGATCCTGACAACCTGGGATTTTATCAACAACTACAGTGTCTTAAGTACCGACACAACCCAGCAGGTATCTGAGGTCTCCAGCTCCCAGAACAGCTGCCGTCAGGGGTCTGTGTTCAGGAGACAGAGGCTGTCTTCCATCCTCTGTCCACAGTTGCATTAGTCATAGGCCTTGGAGCAGCAGAGGAGGCTTGAAGCCCAGCCCCTCACACTTGTGGGCTGAGTTCCAGGGAGGCTATTGTTCAAGGCCGCTTGGCTGGGAGCTCTTTCCTCCTCCCCATCCAGACTCTTGGTCCTCTGCCTCGGATGTGAAAGGCTCAGGTAGGAACAGAAACCAGAATAGTGGGAAGGAGCAGAAAAGAAAACTACAGCTTCAACCAATCCGTCAACACAGAGAGGGAGGCACAGAGTTGCTTTGTGATGGCAAAAGCTGTTTCTTTGTTTGCAGTGGGACAGCCTCCAGGTGGATTAAGCCAAGGTTCTGGGCTGTCACTGCAGAGCCCTTGGGTTGGTTTAGGGGTAAAGGCTGACCCTCTGGAGCCAGGATGGGTGCCAGGAAGGTTCCAAGTGCCTGAGGGACAATCTGTTCACGTGGTGGTTGCTGGGAAGTGGGGGAATGGCCAAGATGGTTGCTGGAGAACCTCTTCTACCCAGGGTCCCTGGGGTGGAGCTAGCTGTAGGGGCTGCACCCCAACATTTCATTTTTATTTTGGAGTAGGAAAGCAGTTCACTTTGTGAGAAATGTAAGAAAAATAAGATGGTCAAATCACCCGTACTTGTACCACCTACAGAGAACTACTGTTAACATTTTGGTGTCCCAGAAAGAGTTTTCAGGAAGACACACACACACACACACACACACACACACACACAATGATATTATTTTTACATATTGAGAGCATTTATCACTATCTGGTTTTATATCCCATTTTATTCACTTAGCATTATGCTTTAAATATTTCCCTATGTCAACTAAAAATTATTATTATTATTATTACTTTTTTTGAGGCAGGTCAGCTTGGACTACATAATAAGATCCTCCTGCCTCAGCCTCCTGAGTGCTGGGATTACAGGTGTGTGCCACCATGCCTGGCTCACCTAAAATTCCTTCTAAGAACTTCTATGATGACCTAA